ATGCTAATATTCTTCCTTGTGACTGAGTTGACTGCGTAGGCTGGGTAGGATGCCTTCTCCTTCCCCTACTCTTCCCTTTCCTTGGAAACAATTGGGTCAATCTAGAGCAGTGTCTGCTCGCCTTCAGAGGGCAGCACAGCTTGGCAAAATGTGCAGAGGTGATTTCTCATTCCTCAGCCCACAGTGGGTTTTTCTGTCAGTCTTGCGTGGAAAGAGATTGTGCCCCTCAGGACAGCTCCATCAGGCAGTGCAGTCTGATGTGCAGGCTGCTAAAATGTTGGCAATAAGAAGTTGCAGTTCAAAAGCCATCGTGCCTCATGGCCTCTTGCTACTTCCAAGCAAACTATTATTTACCTTTTCCCTTCCTCCCTATGGTAATTAGCAAGATGCCACACTGGAAACAGAAAGGCTGCTCTCTGCTCCTCACTTCGACTGATGCGCATCTCTTCTGTTCCCTCTAAAGAAGGTCATGTCATACTGGTTGAAGAACTCCATGCTCCATTAAAAAGTCCACCGGGACCAGATGCCCTCTCAAACGGGCATTTCACCCTGCACCATTTCCTGCCCCTCTGAAACAGACCCAAAGCAAAAATGTCCACTTCTCAGGATGATGTCTAAAGTATCTACTTAGGATTAGCAATGCTGCTTTCAACAAGCAGAAGCCAATCTCCTAGTGAAATTGTTTCAAACGCGCAAGATGATGGAATGAAATCTAAAAATTTTGAAGTATATTTCTTTGTTTTCTGGTTTTTGAGTGCCTGGGGCTTACCTTTTGAACCTCGCTTAAGGGCAAGAATGGTCTCTTCTTAAGAGTCACATGCTGATATTCTGGTGTATTTATTTATCTTCAGAGTGTAGAGCTTTAAGGAAATACCAAATATTGCAGTGTCACCAAAAAATTGGAGGAGAGATTTGGATCCCATCAGGTGACAGTTGCTTCCACTGCAAGAAGCACCATCCAAATCCGCCATACCATGTTCTCTTTTCCTTGTACAGAAGTTGTTCCATTAAGAAGTAATGCAGACTTGAGAGAGGCCACGCCAAAGCCCATGCTGGGGAATTCAACACATGTGAAAAACAACTTGTGCTGACTTAAGTTGTTTCTCCCAGTAGTAACATACCAGTGTCAAAGATATGGACAGCAAGACCAGAAACATCAATTAAATAATACCCCCAATAAATTCTATTGCAGTTTTTCAGAAAATTATCTAATGAATTATGTTTCAATTATTTAGCTAGTTTGACTCTTGCAGATAAAAAACTGGATGATATAGCTGGTAGGAGTTGTACAGGCTTTTATACTAAATATTTATGTGAAATCATGAGTTCCATTTTAGTTTTCTTGTACTGTTTTCCATGCACAGAGAGTTTAAATCCCCAGTTAACCTCTGGGATGCATTTTTTTCCCTTTTCTGTGAGTGTGTTCTCTCACGTTGAGATAAAGTTTCTTGGCCAAAATGGCTGTCTATCATTTTCCATGATAAGGCTTAAAAATAAATTATACAAGATCATACAAGCTGGTTGTTTGAAGTTCTATTTAACCTGAAGATACAACATTTTCTGGCTGACGCGATGAATTCATCACATGAATTGCCAGCAGTCACTGAGCATGTTCAGTGTGTTGCCAGACAGGCTGTGCTCCAGGATTTTGGCTGTGGTTTTTGTCTTTTATTGTTACTAAGTAGTCATGGATTGCATAGGCCCCTTAATGAATATGTATTGAGATGGTACCGTAAGATTACTTGACAGCTAGACAGGTTCGCTACAGTAAAAAAAAAAAACAAAACACACACACACACAAAAAAGCCAGTTTCTGATTTCAGTTGCGCTTTTTTAATCTCGATAGGTTCAAGTGAATTGCACTGGTCTTATTCCTGTCTAATGAAACCATATTAAAAAATCAACACAAATATCCATCTCCAAGACAGCTGGGGGCTTGATCAGGTTTATGTACTTTACCAGGATTTTGGTCATATATAAACACATAAAAACATTGAACAGTGAAATTATTACTAAACATGCTCTGAGTTAACTCATCTATGTAAATTTATCTCTAGGATAAGTTGACTTAAAACCCAGAGATAACTGTCTTCCTTATCCGCAGTATGGTATTTACTTTCTAGGAAGAGCAACTTAAGCTGTATGAATCAGACAGAAAGCAGCCAAATGGTAGTGGTGGGTGGTGGTTTTTCTTTTTAAATTACTGAAATTAAAGGGCTATCAATAAAGAGTCTATGTAAGCAGTAGTACAAAGTCTGGCTTACTTATCACATCACAGTGCATCAATATTGCTCTGAGTTTTGGATTATTATAAAACCTGGTCTGCTTAGGAGAGGCCAGAAGGGAAAGTGAACTCCATCTGCTGTAATCCTCTCTGCCACTGGAAGCAACTTGCATGTTACTTTCTCAAACCAGCAGCTTGTTGCAAATTGGTTTTGAGCAGGGAAGTTCATGCTCAAGTACTTATTGGTCCCCTCCTAGGAAATTTAACTGCAGTCAGTCTGACTTTTTAATGTTGCAGTCCCCTGGGTTAATATAAACAAAAAAATTTATATATGGGAAGTATTTTTTGTCTATTGTGGGTGTGGATTTATGATTGCTACTTAGCTAAGACTAAGGCTAGGCTCCTGATTTTATACAGAGACTTCTGATATGACATTCTCTCATCTTGCACATTATATCTTTAACTAACTCATTAAAATTACATTTTCTTCCTTTTTCCTCAGTTGTTAAAGCATCTCACACTGAAAACTACCATGCTTTGAACTCAGTGAGACTTGTGTTCATTCGGTAGTTCTAAAAATAAAGTATTTCGCATGAGCTAGTTGAAGCGGCATTTTATTTTTTAAAATGAGAATACAGTTGGCACTCCAGTTTTCTCTGTTGGAGTCTGCCCTTGTCAGTCGCTTGTTCTGACAGGAGCACAGGAAAAAAAAGAGTATTAAGGCAAAACACTCACGATCATCTTATTGTGGGACATGAATTATGGGAGGGGAATATTTGCCAGTAGGTTTGCTGGGGGTTTTTTAATGGTTGAATGTGAAGCTGACTTCATTGAGATTCTTATTGCTGAGATTTTGTGTATCCTGTCTGTAGAAAGCCAAATTTGTCTCAATATAATAGTTCAGTTAGTTAGTTACTGAATACTGAGACCAAATAAAGAAATACTTGAGTTTCCTCATAAAGCTACGCTGATGCGTACTGTTATGCAAGGTTTTTCTTCTGATCGCCTGGTAATTACAGCCCTAAAAGCCTTCAGACGTCATCTATCTTGCATGCATTGACGAAGCTTAAGCATATAAAGATAAGGATGTAATACAACAGAGATTTTGAGCCTTACTTAGTGAAAACCCATCTATGGCAGCAGAAGCTTTATTTGCTAAAGGCTGAAGACAAAGGCCCAAAAACCCAGAACTAATGCAACGTCAAACTGTTCCCAATTTTTACATGTGTTTTGTGCTAACATTTTTCTCACTTATTTGCAAAGCATTGGGTTCGCAAAGCATTCAGCACAGAAAGGGTTACGTTCACATCTGCACTCTGCAATACACGCTCTCCTTTACAAATTTACCGGAGCGTTTGCAACTGAGGTATTGCTAACACACGGAAACATGTTTACTAATGTGCAGACCAAGTGCTTGTGTCATTTCACATAAACTATTACTCCCTGTTCCCTGTAGGTGCCTGTAGCTGGGGTCATTACACTTACGGGGAAGCTGCTGGTTCATACAATCAATCATCTGTTCTACCCAGTAATTTATTTTTCAGTATTTTCACCTGCTCTGAACATGCCAAGGACTTCATGTAGCTGATCACACCTGCTGCACCAGGGGTTTTCTTTGGAGCTAGCCTTCAGGTAGACAGTTATTTTTGTACTCTGAAATAGTAAATTGTGTGCAGAAATTTCCATTTTGAACACAAGTTCAAGAAAAAAGACTTTTATTTGTTGCTTAAAGTCAAAATTAATATACAGTTTGCAATTACAGAAATTATTGTTCCCCACTTAGAAATGAGGTTGTACAGGTAAACATTACAGGTAAACATTACAGTACCCAAAATATACACGATACAAGCAAATAACCTCCAGAAACAAACACAGAACACTAACAGCATGTAATTACAGTGGCTCCCGGGCACAAGGCTGTTGTACAGAACAAAAGGTTTGTGTATAAAGAGGTAGCGGAAGTCAGCTCAGTAAATGCTGAATCCTTGTACATCAAGAGACACATCAGATATTTATTGCAGATTATACACCGTCATCCTCTGGGAAGCTGAAGTATTTTTTGAGGCTCACATAGGTTCTGGCCAGAATCTAATGTCATATTGAAAGCTTCTGAACTTGCAGAAAGGCACCCATTAGCTTCGAGCACCTAAAACCTCTAAATCCTGACATATTTTCATGTTTTCAGTAACTAAAATGGTACTGGACTACAAATTTTAAAAATCCTCTTTAAACATGTCACCTGAAGTTGTTACTGATTCCTTCTCCTCCTCCTCCTCATTCAAAAGCTGTATTGCAAGTTTTCTGGCTAATGACTGGAAGGGGTTACTTTTGTTTAAATAGCTTAATCCTTTCTCTATTAATAGATGTCTCTAAACAAATGTTATCTGACCTTTTATTTCACGACAGAATTGAGTAAACTCAGCTGTTCAGGAACATGCCTTTCGGTGCCTAGAAGTATTTTATTAAGATATCTTTGAAAAACAAGACTTTAGGGGAGGAATAGCTTTGCAAGAACAGCCTAGTATACATGCATAAGGAATGCTGGATTATTTTAAGTTATTACAACAGGGGGCTGTCAACACAGACAAATCCATGCAAGGATGCGTACAGGGTGATCCTATGCTTTAAAAGGCACAAGTTTCTTCCAAGAGTATTTCTCTTTCTAGTCCAATTTCAGAAGATTTCTTCTGCCTACAGTTAAGATTTTCCTAGTTATTAAAGATTATGTCGATCTCAAGAAAGAAAACTAAATCACTCCTCAGTTTGTCTGGGATTGTTTAATGGGAAAGGCAGAATCTCAAAGTTACTAGGAACTCCAGTCAGGAGCATTAACTTTCTACATCAAAATCCAACTCATTTGGGAGCAAAGCTTTCATTGACTCCAGCAGGAACTGGTCTGCAAATGCCAAGTTCTCTTTTATGGAGAAGCGTACCTGCCAAAGAAAAGTATGCTTTGCGTTGGGTTGTGGCGAATAAAGAAAAGGAAAGGATGGTCAGCATTGAAATCCTCTTCCATAACCATGCAGAGCATAGCAATGCCAGCAGTGGCAGCTGCTGCTTCTGTGCCTTCCTCGTTCACTTCTACAAAAGCCTTGTGGACAATTTTAGAGAGGAAGAGGTCACGTGCCCCTGACATTCCTGACAAGTCAGCCTTACTGCTGTCAAACACGTCCAACAAGCCCATAGCGCCTAAATCTGATTTCAGGTCATAGCTTTCTTCTAGCTTAAACTTTGGCAAACGCACATGAACATCAGTGGAATATAGATGCTCTGGACATGTCCATTCCTGGAGCTTCTCTAAGGTAAGCTGCTTTTCCAGCTAGAATTCAAAAGACAGAGATCATTACATATCACCAGGGTAGAAATACTTCATTTTCAGTAACGTTTATAAGGCTTTATAGAGCACTATACAACGATAAAGCAACTATATAAAAATGACTATACCCATATCTTTGATAGCTCCATATAGATCAGACAAATGCTATTAAAATTAAGTGAAGTCAGTGCAGTTTTTACTAATGCAGACATTTGCTTCTTGCTGCAATGTACAGAAGGGAAAAAACACGCACTGACAGCAACTAAACCCAGTCACTCTTACTGTTTAATCTGACTAAATAGAATTACATAATTAAGTAACAAAAATAATCATCAGAGAGCTCAAAGAAGCTGACGTGTTCCTGGTCATTTAATGGAAAACAATCTCACTACTTTAAGGTTAAGAAAATAAAGACTTTCAAAGGTAATGAAAGAAAAGTTGTGTCATTAAAAAAAAATAAGCAAGGCAAGTTAATTCTCATAGTTAACTTTGTTTTCACAGTCTCCCTTGTGGTTCAGTGCAGCAAGCCAAAGGTCACGTGAACACGAGCTACAAAACCAGAATACAACTTCTCTTCCTGATGCAGCACGTGCACGTATTCTTTATTGCAGTGGTAATAAAGCATTGTCTAAAAATATGCTTGATAGATATGGGGCTCTGAGAATGTGGGTTCATTAAAGCTTTAATTTTGAATGGCTGAACTTATCCATTAAATAACTGCATTAGCTTAGATGGGTCACCTTCTGCAATCCAGTGGAGTCATCTTCAATGTCATCAGGTAACAGGATGATCATACTAAGTTCTCTTCCATCGTAAGGCAGCTCTAAAATACGGATCTTTACTTCAGGGATGTACCCAAAACGAAATTTCTTCTTCTGATACATCATTTTAACTGTCTGTCTTTCATGCTGGACGGACAAAAGGTACCAAAAGTAACAGTTAAGAAAATACTAATTTAAAGAACTGGTAGGAAACAAGTAAGTTAAAAATTGCATTCTTGCAAAAACTCTTCCTCCATTATATCAGGTAATTATAAAACTGCCTTCGTCAGGCTCCTGACTGCCTGTTTAATAACAGTTTCTTCTGAAAACACAATGAGTTTGTATTATATTTGGCTCTCCTTTGGCTTCTATAGCACAGTCTTCACAGAAATGGAAACAATTTCTTCAAGTTGCTGTACCATTATATTGCTCTAGCCCCAAAAACGACAACACTGAAAGTCAACAAAGATCAACTTTGTTCAGCATAAAGCAGATGACTGTATACAGTATCTTGCAAAGCCATTAATGTAAGCAGAATATAGAACAAGAAAACGGAGCTTAGCCAAATTGTGCCATCATTTTAATACCGTTTACCTAGCATCACAAACAGGCACAGTTCGTAGCAGCTGAAACTGCCAGCAGACAGAAACTCCGCTAGGCACAAACAGGGTCCTAATCTATATGTGAGAATTATCTCGTGATACTATTCCAGTAAGACAACAAAGGGCTTGCTGAATACAGAAAAATATTAAAATCCATAAAAAACTTTCAGTTGAACAGAAAACATTCATTAAATACTTTCTATTTTTTTATTTTAAGCAAAGCTTCACTTTAGCACCTGTATTATTTGACCTTTTCGTTAGATATATACTACCAAGATGTATCTGAATTACCTTATTTAACCGAAATGGCATGTCAGTGGTGTCGGCTTCTTTAAATCTCTCTGCCCAGTTCCCTTTGAAATAAATAGCGTTCACCAGTACGAGCCTGGTCATGTTATCAACTGAGCCTTCAGACAGCAGATTAGGGATTTTACCTTCAGAGGGGGCAGAAAAAAAAAAAGTCACACCAAAATCTTGTAATTAAGTTGATGGCATATAAAACATACATGAAGAAACTGATGCCATAGAAATACTACAAACATAAAACTCTAGTCCATTCCTGTAATAAAGTGTTTCAGTACCTGTCCCTTTCTTTCACCGTACTTTTTAATAGTACACACTACTATACTTTTGTTATACAGTAATTTGATGAAAATGCAGTATTTTTAGCTTAAACTGTTACATATGACTCATCATACAAAAACTAGAAAACACCCACATTTAGGACTACTGGATTTAGAAATATATACACAAGACAGAACAGGACTATCTAAAACAAATTCTCCAACTCATGAGTAAAAATGTATGTTTAGGCATCTCCCCTGCACTCATGAGCCTCCTCACAAAAAGTGGACAAGTCTCAGGACTTACAGAACTGTTTAAGCATCTTGCTTAGGTATTTTCTGCTTCTGTCAATGCATCAAGTGAATATCCCAGGGCAAAATTAAACTGTTCTAAAGGTGGCAGAGAATAAAGCCTATTCCTGCTCCCAAAGTATGAAACACTGCCCGTTACTTTATTAACCAAAGTAGTTTACCTTCAGTTTTCTCCTTTACCCACTGGTTAATTTCTTTCCTGGCTTCATCACAAGCCTGAAGAAAATCAACTGTAGCCAAATCAGCTCCATATAATTTCTGAGTATTATTCAGGAAATCCTAGATTTTGGAATGGTAAGAATAGCTTTCATCGCATGCAGATAAGAAAACATCTCTTTATGATGTAGATAAGGTGCACCTGCTCTGAGGTGAGGCTCTAACAATGCACTGCCCGGGGGGTTTCTGAGGTTCGGGTTTTGGTTTTTTTCCCCTCTCAGAGTAAGCCTTGGTACATCTGTCACATATACAGCTGATGGGGTGCTTACTGCAGGTGTTGCGGTATTTACCTGTCATTCTCCTGAAACAGGCTCAAGCACAGCTAGGATAAAACAAAACTCTCCAAAAGAGCTTAAGAGGGATAAAAATAGCAACCTAGGTGCACACAAAGGTGTAATTCACTGGTGAAGAGGCATGTTGTTTAGACATGTTGGGCATCCCCTCCCAAATAAATCTTTTTAAAAACAGTGTATTTAAGTAATGTGGTACTAGACCAATGAAAATCCTAACCGGCTGATTGCAACAGACACAGAGCTGGTTGCATCCTAAAAAGCTGATTGCAACAGTCACGGAGCTGGTTGCGACCTAAAAACCTGGTTGCAACAGAGTGGGATGTTATGATAGTTACTGTGAACTGAGAACCTAGACAAGTGATTCTTCTGTTGAGCGCAACAGAACCAGAACCAACCAAACAATGAAAAGGGCAGCCCAGGACCAGAAGCTCAGGTAGCGGGAGGGGGTAGGCACAGCAGCGCCTGGGCGGGGCCCCTGGGTGGGGCCCTTGGGCGGGGCCCCTGCCCTGCCCAACCCACCTGTGTCCCAGGGCCACCGCGTGGCTCCTCTGTGATCTCGCTGTGGAGCCGGCATCAGAGCACACCATGCGCTGCTGGCTCCTGCTGCTTGCCCTGCTGCTGGGGGCTGCCCTCCCTCGGCCCTTGCATGAGAGGTGATGGCAATTCCCTCTTCCTCCTCCTCTTCCTCCTCTTCCTTGCCCCGGTACCTGCAGAGGTACCCCAGGGCTCCTGGCCTGGGTGTGGGCTGGTACTCATGGCACCAAGGCCTTGAGAGCTGGCCGGGCTGGGTGAAGACAAGCGGCACGTGGGAGCTCTTGGGCCAGCGTGGGTGAGCACCGTAGGGTCTTGGCTCACTCCTGCCCCTGGTTTTCCTCCGCAGTGTCAGCTATTCGGTCCCCGAGGACTTCTCTGCTCCCCTGGAGCTTCCACAGCAGCACTTTTGCCTGGTGGACGGTACAGTACTCTCCTCGCCCCTCTGAACCCCCTTGCCGGGCACTCGCCCCTCCAGGCAGGCAGTTGTCCCCAGCCCCGTGTTTTTTTTTGCCTCTCTGCTCTACCCGCAGATTATGGCATCAAGCCCAAGCAACCTCGCTTCAGGACCCGGCCAGCTCGGAAGCGTCCGGCGGCGCTGCGCAGAGCTGGCAAAAGCAAGCGCGACGACCTGGACTTGCTGGAATATTACTACAATGCCCACCTGTGAGGGAGCATGTCCCAGTGCCCAGCTCGGGGTGGATGCGTAACATCCTTTAGGTAAGACGCCTACAGATAGGGAGATGCATATGCACATATGCAACTGCCCCGTAACATTTAGAAATATACCTAGAAATATTTCTACTTCATAAATACTCAAATAGCTGCATTTTCCGGCCAGGTTCCACCACGCCATTGTGATCTGCACCAACTTACCGGCAAAAAGCTGTAAGACTTCTCTCCAAAAAGCCGATTGGCAAGCCGTAAGACATAGGGAGCATTGCTTCTGTTTATATCCATAGTCAGAGTCTGAAATCTTGAATGAGTATCTTCAACTTTGTCAAAATGAAGCGTCTGAAATAAAAGTAGTGAACTAGCTGCAGCTAATACTGTCTTGAAAGACCATACAGTACATCTACAGGGTGGCTCTGATCCAGCAGGTAGGCGGGTTGAAGAAAGAGAAAAGAAAAGGCTGTAAGCTGCTCACAGACTTCTGAAAACCTCAAAGAATGAATGAAACTGTTTCTTGGTGCTACGCTGCCCGTGTCAGCCACTTGTATTAAGCTTCTGGTTTATACGTAGTCACAGCTGAAGCTGCTGATCGTAACCCTGAGTCCTGTCCGTGTGACATCGTCATGTCTCCCCTCTGTGGGCACCAGGAGTCATTCCCAGGTGGGGAATTGAAAAGAGAGACGATACCATAGAGACACTTTAGCTTTCTTGCTTCCCCCTTTGGCCCAAGGGAATCTGGGGTTTTGCTTTTCAGAACATCTAGTCAAAACTAGCACAGGTAAGGTCTTAAGAAAACTGAGAACAATTATCTTTTATGGTTTTATGAAAATATAACTGCTTATATATAATGTAAAAACTGTATCATCTGAAAAATCAAATGCATTACTGCAGTTTCTCTTTACCAGTACCTCCTTTCCCAGAGGCAAGCTGGCTGGCCAAGGCTTACAGATAGTTACTGTGAACTGCCTAGACAAGTGATTCTTCTGTTGAGCGCAACAGAACCAGAACCAACCAAACAATGAAAAGGGCAGCCCAGGACCAGAAGCTCAGGTAGCGGGAGGGGGTAGGCACAGCAGCGCCTGGGCGGGGGCAGAAGCTGCCAGACCTCATTCACAAGGAAGGCTAGACCAAAGCAGGGACATTCACATTCAAACTTCAAACATGTATTTCTCAGCAGGGAAGACTGCTGTGAAACACCCACTGGATTCAAAGGAAAGCCCTCATTTTATGCCACTGGGTTTTGTGGGCAGGCCTCGCTGCCCACATTAATACAAACCGTGTCGTACATATGAATAGCTGAGCAAAAACATCACGGAGGCAACTTACAACAGGATTATGATCACAAATTCCTGTACGCTTGTAGACAGCCCCTGGCAGTTACCGCTCACTGCCTCCTTAGTTAGCTGTTTTCGTAAGTGAAGCATTACAGTACAGGAACATGCATTATTGAAGGTGACTGTGTTGAAACACATTTTTTTTCCCCCCAAATTCCTTTTGCATGATTTCTGCTGTCAGTAGGTTTATCCTAGGCAGGGCTGTCAGTTTGATTACATGAAAGATATGTTCAAAGTCTGTTTGTACAAGTAGTAAGAAAATAATTTTATTGTCTTATTCAGTAAGCACAGCACCACTCAACAGTATAAAACAGTTCCTCCTAAAGTCCAGAATACAAAGGTGACATTATTCATAAGCAAATACATGATGATGACTGCAATGAGAAGTCTCATACGCCCTTTCACGCTAGTGGGCATTAGCCTAACAAAGGGGAAAAATAATAGTGACCGAGCCCTTTCCGTGCAGGGGGCCGCAGGAGAAACTGGTACACTCCTGTGTACACCATTTTTGCAATTTATAATGAGTTTTTTCAAACTATCCTACCTAATCTAAGGCTATGGTAAGAATAAGCATGTAGGCTCAGCTCCTCTGAGATATATGACTGCCTAGCTGTTACTAAGATACTTAGGTAGCATCATCGTCTATTATCATAGTTGTTACGCTTTAAACATAAAACTATATATATTACTATTGTGTTTCTTGCAAAATACACAGCATTATTAGCAATAAGCACACCATCGGTGACCTTGTATTACAAAGCAATAGCTCTTTGTCAAAATGTGTCACAAAAACTAGGAAGGCCTTGCTGCTGGAAACTCCAGTCAATTTAAACGGAGACTGATTAATTAATGAAATTAGTTTCCTACTTCAAGAATTAATAAGTGCAATTAAGAGAGAAACAAGGGCCATAGCAAATATGGGAAGAGGGTCCTGGAGCAGGGCAGGCAGAAAGTAACTGCAGAGAAGAGCCCAAGGAAGACTCAGTGAGCATGACAGAAATCTTCTTCTGAGCACATAAAGATGATACCCTCCTTTCACTTTCCCTCCTCTAAAACACAACAATTTTAATGTAAATAAACCATAAAGCAAAAAATAATTTTAGTTTTTTTTTTTTTTTTTACTAACCTTCAGCATCTGGGCCTCTGTATTACCTTTGGCCCCTAAAAGGACCATGGCCATAGCAGCAGAGACACTGACAGGAGAGAAGAAAACATTTCCTGTTGGGTTGGTCTCATTAAACCTTCTGAGCAGATCAAGTGCAAATCTGCTGTTGGCATTACGCAGGTTCTCCATGGTTATAGCTGAAAAATAAAACAGTCAGTAAGGACTCTAAGAAATACTCTTCAAAAACCTAATCTAACCTTGTGTGACTTGGAGAGCAGACTGGATTAATCTGCTTGCAGCTGGGTTTAGAATTTAAGAATTTAATTGCCAGTGCATCTTCTTCAAAAAAAAAAAAAATCAGTCACACTGAAAAAGCAGAATTGTTTTCCACATAAATTGTACATCTCAATCTTTCCTATCACACTAACTTTAAAGACATTATTTTTAAAAATTCCTTGCCTTCTAACTTGAAATTCGAAGTCTCTGTACCGGCAGGATTGCAAGTTAAAGTGCTTCAGGCTCACAGACCAGGCACACCCCAGACTGCTCACTCACGCAGCTTTCCCCCTGCTCTTCTACCTGAATCCTGCGCAGAGGACGTTCACAGTAACTGCTCCAGAAGATTTAGACACCTTTTAGCGAGCCGCCTGTCTTCATGGCACAAACCACACCACAAAAAGGTGCAAATCCTGCCAAAGGCTCAGATGCACACTTACCTTCAGCAGCGTAAACCGCTGCTATCTTCACCAGCCTGCTCTGCCGAAACCAAGCGAGTGACCTGCACCGTGTATCCAGGTACAAACGCACCTGAGTCCCAACAGGGCTGAGCGGCCCTAAACCCACGGGCAGAGCGCCCCGGGGTTTTGCCAGCTGAAGGTGACGGCCCGGCTAGCGAAGGCAGAAGCGAAGCGCAGAACAGACAAACCTTCAGGGCTGACGCTGCACAAGCCGCAGCCGTGATTCATTTCAGTGAGATGCTCCCTAGGAGGCTGTTGGAGCAGAGGGGAAAGGTGAGAGGGCTGGGTCAGGTGCAAAAAAACTACCCAAAGGCTAGTGGCAGTATTGCTTAATGCTGTAAAACCTTCCTGCTTGCCAGCTCGGACTCCTGCTTCTCTCTGCTTGCTTGCAGCGGGACTTTTGGATTTGGCCGTTTCGAGCTTGTTTCCTCACGGAGTTTCATTTGAAGGAAGGGCATTTGTGCACCTGCCCACGGCACCCAGGGCAGCAGCACCGTAATACTGTCACAAATACTGTCCAGACCCAACTACATGGAGGAATTTGCACCAGAATTCGGGTATTTCCAGCATGGTGTTTCTACAGGAATTGCAAAACAACACTATCTGCTTCCACTGCCAGACAGATAAATGCCCTGTATCTTTGCAATGTTCTTTTATCTAGCCCTATACTAGGAAAGAAAAGAAAAAAACAAAAACCAAACACAAACCCAAAAGCGTACTTTTACTTTCATTTACTTACACCACGGCACCGTGCAAGCGTTTCACTGAAACCAGCCCTTTCACAGCCCCCCGGGGGAGAGGGGCACGGGCGGAGAGAACAAAAAATTCCCCTTTTCTCCCCGTTATCACCTCCTTCCCGTAGAAAGCACCCGGGGGCAGTGGGGGCGGCAGCTGCCCG